AAAGCTACTTTTTAGAGCAAAAGCTTTTAATTTTTGCATCTTTTCTCAATAATTATCAATAACTTATAATGTCTTCTGGCTTTCAGGTCATTTCAATACTAATAACAAGAAAAATGCATTCAAATCAGAAGCCCAGCACACAATTCTAGCCTTGTGAGCTCTTCAGTGGTCTGCCCTGCATTGAGGTTATGCATATGACAGAATAACCAAAGCAGGAAAGTCTGTTTTTACTAACTCACCTCTGATTAGTTGCAGGAAGCAAAACATTCCAAAGATAATTGTGTGATCATTGTAAGAAGTGATTGTAAATAGTCATCTCTGAAGTACTCTTGGGAAGTAAATTTGTGTGGATGGGATGAGTTAAAGATACTAATGTTGACTTGCTTTTGACCAGATTCAGCAGTGAAAGGAGGTTAGATTTTCAGTTACATTCATTTAAGTTGAAATCAGTGTCATGGTTCTATTCATCAGACACTCAAATTTGCTTTCATCGCCATTTCTGGAGAGTTAATATAAGTGCTTGGGGAAAAAAGAATAGGGGTGCCTGGCAGCAGCCATAAGCCTGGCACTCTGAAATGGGAGCCAGAACTCTAGAACCCATTTCGAAGTAGTTATCACATCTTTATAGAAATCTCAAATCACTTAATTGTGCCTTTTTCCTGTTTCTCAAATAGTTTTTGCTTCTGTTATATTTTAAATCATCTCAAAACATACTTACTCCTTTCTTTTAATTTTAAAATGGTTTGTTGTAATACAGAGTCATACTAAAGATTTAAGTGCATGATTAGATCATTAACTGGAAAAAACTGGCATCTCTGTGCAGGTGATCAGATGACATAAGCAGTCTGGGTTTAATTTGTGGGCAGTGCTGATTGTAACTGAAAGAGACTTGCTCTTCTTGTGGAATTGGCTGACTGTTTCTCTACATCTGGAGTTAATAGAGCCTCGGAGACCACATCAGTTGCACTTCACCGCAAGAACTCTTTGATCTGAAAAATCAGGACTGGCACAACTGCTGCTTCAGAACATTGCATCTCTGTTTTGCAAGCTATGGTTAAGATACCAAAAGTAAAGTGATTTGAACTGTGTTAGAAATGCTCTTAGATGGCTCTCTGAGAACCATGTTTTTTAGAAACATTTTTATTATGATGAAAACTTTGAACTTATGTTAGTAAATAAACAATAAATAGAATAGTTTTAGGATTTTTGCCATTTTCATTCATAAGCTTTATTCTTTTAAAGTCCATTTATTTTGTTCAAAGTCTATAAAAACTAGCATTAAAATACAGATTTACTACTGACATGAGCGCTCTTTCCATAAAGTTTAAAATTTTATATAAAATTTATATTTTTTTTATATAAAAGCCAGCAAATCTCTTTCAATGGTTCTTGGTCTTCTTGCTTTCCATGACAGTCATCAGTTAACCCTTCCTTATCTCATCAATATATTCTCCCTTGAAAGCAATTTTTTAAAATCATTTAAGCATTTAAGTCAAATCTATTTTTATAAATGCAAGCATATTAAAATTTTCAAATGAAAGCATCTCATACAACTCATGAATTGATTGGGATAAGAAGAAACAAATTGTGTATAAATTTAAGCTGAAAAATTACGTGGCTTTTGTGTGAAATGACACATCAAAATTGACTTTTTCATAATTACCAGAGGGAATCTTACATACTATTTGAGTCTAACCCAGATACAGATTTTATTTCATACTTTGAATCAATAAGTAAGCATTTTGACACACACACACCCCAAAAAAGGTATATTTTCTTTTTTTGTTTTGTTTTGAAGCCATGTCAGTGGTGCTCAGGACATACTCCTGGCTCTATACTCAGGATAGCTGCTGGTGGGCTTGGGGGATCATAAGGGGTGCAGGGATTAAACTTGGCTTGACTGAGCATAGCAGATGCCCTATCCACTATACTATCATTCCAACCTTTTGATGCTATTTTCTAAGTTTTTTCTCATTCGTATTTTTTGTTACACCTGTAACTTTTATTTTCTAGTTTGTAGTTTTAGCCTCCTTTAGCTATGACATAGATACTAAAATTTAATTAAAAGAAAACAGTGCAAAATGCCTTTCCTGAAAGTTTTGTTGTGCTTATCAGCCTGAATAACACATTCCAAACACATTTGTATATATTCAATTATTTCATTGCAACACTATCTTTATGCAATAGTATTTAGAAAAACATGTAAGGTATATAATGAAAAACTGAAATATTTTGTCATATTTCTCTATATTGTACCTAGGCATCTTCTAGATATTCCTTAGAAACATATGTTTCCCTGAGCTTCTTGGGTTCTATGATTGTGTGTTTGTTTAGATCTGGGATTTGAAAGGTAGGCAATTAATTTGAATACCAAATAGGCAATAACAAGCTAGGAGAGTAAAATACCTTTTAATCTTATATTTAATAGGATGAATTGAGTATTTAAGTAGGATCTTATCAGAGAGAAACTTTTTCTCAGTTACAGAAAAACTGTAACTGTTTCAGTTATTCCCTGAACAGATTCAGGAACAGCATAGTATTTAGCATATGACTGCTATAGAAGAGTGGTAGTGTGATGTGACCGTGTGCTTAGTGCACTAAGCCTTTTTATTTTGCTTATTCTTTATTAGGGGGTCCCACGCCTGCAGGTGCCAGGGGCTGTTCCCGGCTCTGTGCTCAGAAGTGACCCCTGACAGTGCTGGGAAGGTACCATTTGGGGTGGTCGGAATGGAATTGGGGTCGGCCAAGACAAGTGCCATGCCTCTTGTACTAAACAGTTTTAGGTGTGTGACCTCATCAACCTTGCCTGATCCTCCCATCCCTTTGATGCTGGTACTATTCACATAATCATGTCACAAATAAAGAAATTGAGTCTCAGCAGCTAGGTGACTTACCAGGAGTCTTTAGGGTCAATGGGTGACTCAGAGAGAGAATAACTTAATTAAAAGTGTAGTTTATTTGACTGCCATTTTGACCCTGATAGATGCTTCCTTGACTTTCTATAATATGGAAATGTGTACTTGAGATAATGTCAAACTGCAGCTAGCTCCCCAAGCCTGTTCCCCCTTGAAATCGACTCTCACTGGCTTATGTCCCTCCACTCTGGAAAAGCCCGCATACTCTCCTGAGCACATAGAACACATTCCTTCTCCCTCTGTCTCTCCTCACATCTTTCTTCCTTTTATTTATTTATTTTATTTTTGGGTCACATTCAGGTTACTCCTCACTACGTTCAGAAATCATCCTGACGGTGCTGAGGGACGCTAGGGATCGAACCCAGGTCGGCTGCATGCAAGGCAAAGGCCCTGCCAGGAGTACTAGCGCTCTGCCCCCACCCCTGACATCTTTCTGAATAAGTTTCAATAAAAACTATCTTGCCTGAAAAATAGAAATTTCGAACTGTAGCAGGGCATAAAGTTAATTCTCGTTCCCATTTCTAAAAGCAGAGATGTAATCATTAAGTTTCTTAATGATGAAGTATGTGATTCCAGATATTTTCTATACCTAAGTAACACATAAGAAAGTGTATTATTTTTATATATATTCCCATAATATAAATTAACAGTTGCTTTTTCCTATTTAAATGAGCAGTTTTCATTTGGGATGAAATTTACTGGATGTAGATATCAAACTGAAGTATGTGTTTCATACTGCCCAAGAAAAGATTCCTTTCATTCTTCCAACTCCTGATTTACTTCTGCTTCTGTAAACTATGTATCATCAGAAATGTTAATTGCTTACCTTCCCATTTTTGGTAGGTGTAAGAATGGGTGAGTTGATCATGTTTTTTGCAGGGAGGTTATTCCCTCTGATGCTCAGGGATCAAGCATAGGTCTCCCATATGCAAAGCTTGTGATCCAGTCCTTTGGACAATATCCTCAGCCTCTAATATTAAAGGGTGAAAAGAATGAATGTTATGAACCCAAATTTCATTCTGTGCTGTATTCAGAGGACACTGGTTTCTACCATAATAATGAATCATGAGCCTGCATCAGATCTAGAGTTTGTAATCTGTGTGAACATTTTATTGCCACATAAAGATGCATTATAGATACTTCTGTAGCACTGTCCTCCTGTTTGTTGATTTGCTCGAGCGGGCACCAGTAACGTCTCCATTGTGGGACTTGTTATTACTGTTTGTGGCATATCGAATATGCCATGGGGAGCTTGCCAGGCTCTGCCATGCGGGTAGGATATTCTCGGTAGCTTGCCGAGAGGGATAGATATTTCAGTTAATATTAATGTTTCTTATATGCATATGCATACAGGTACATTTGTTATTGTTGTAGTTGTTTTTCTGTGCCAGGGATCTAACTCAGAACCTTATACATAGATTCTACGACAGAACCACATCTCCAACCTGAGAACTATTTGGTTTGGTTGTTTCTATTTACTTAACTCCCTCCATCCCTTCTTTCTGTTGTTACTGTGGCAGTGGCCGGGTGGTTGTGATGAAATGGGTTTGCACACCTGCCAAGAGTACTTGCACACAAGGGTAGCACTCAGCTGAAGCACTGTTGTCTGGTGATGCTCACCAGCGGTGCACTTCCTGGCCAAGGCACTCACATATTTTTAGTTATAATGCTCACCTTTTGGGGTGGTACTTATACAAGTCCTTCTTCCTAACTGCGATGTGACCAAATTCACTTCTAGCACCAGGAATCCCAGATAGCAGAGTTCCCAGGATTGTGCTCTGCTCTTCAGGGATGCCAGGACTTTGAACTCATAACCATACTTTGACAAGATAAGCATTGGAAGCCGCTGCATCCTTCCTCCGAACCACATATCACAGGAATATTTGGAGTAATGTTTTTCTCTGATGATCAGATGGAAAATTAACATGCAGATATAAGCAAAGTTAACATTTGTGTGTATTTAAGCAGTTTCTTTGACTATTTAGGAGGGCTCATGAGCATCAGGCCTTTTTAGGTCATCTATGAAATTGTAATAGAGTATGTCAGTCATTTACATTTATTTAATATCTTCTGTTTAATTTTAAGGTATATGCACCATCCCCAAATTCAGATGATTTCAACCGTGAATCTCCTAACTACCCATCTCCCAAGCCACCAACCAGTATGTTTGCTAGCACTTTCTTTATGCAAGGTAAATACCTTTAAAGTTCAGTTTTAAAGATATCTAGTGCTGTTTATTGCCAACTGCAATGTGGTTGAATTATCCAGCAAACTTTTAGATAAAGTTGTTCAAAGAGTCCATCTGAGTTGATTGAATGTGTAAAAAACGTCAGTTAAGAAATGGTGCCGGAACGATAGCTCAGCTGGTAGGGCATTTGCCTTGCACACAACCAACCTGGGTTCGATCCTCGGCATCCCATATGGCCCCCCAAGCACCGCCAGGAGTAATTTCTGAGTGCAGAGCCAGGAGGAAGCCCTGAGCATCACTGGGTGTGATCCAAAAAGAAAAAAAAATGAATACATTTGTCTTTTCTCGTTTTAACATTTAAATATATGAAAGCTATTAACAACTCTAGTTTCTTGTTCAAGTATTTATCACCCCTAGAATTGTCAGTATACACAGTGACTATCATAGAATAATAAGTTTGTTAAGAAAGGAAAAGTAGTATATTTTCTTTCATGTCTAGCAAGTATGTTTTATTTAGTTGCCTATGGTTTTGAACTCTTGGAATATTAAATGACTAAATTAATAGTTCTTTGACCTTACATTGTTAGGTGAAATCATTGTTAACACATTTCATTTAAAAACTGACTATAACGTAGACATTATCAGTTCTAAGTTTACTGTTTGAGAAACTTTCATTGCTCAGAATGTTTGATATAATGTACATTGCTTATTAACAGTTAAGAACTTTTATGTGTACTAATGGGTATGCCAATTAACCAGAAGTTATGACCAATCTGTTCCCAAATCAGAATTTTTTTAAATCCTCCTTGATATAAATTTAGATTTTCTGAGGATTTTTATAATGACCTACCTACTACAGGAAGATGTTTTTAATCTGACTGTAAAGCTCCATTGCTTCTTTTTAAAATAGTAATTATACAATATAAAGGGAAGTAAATTGGATACAAGACTAGATTAAAAGGGGCTGGAAATTATCTGACGGGGACCCTTTGAATTTCTATAGTGTCATCAAAATAAAAGAAAAAATTTCAGCTAAGGAAAATTTTATATTTCTCTTTTTGTCTTAGATGGGACCCACAATTCTTCTGACCTTTGGAGTTCATCAAATGGGATGAGCCAGCCTGGTTTTGGTGGAATTTTGGGGACCTCCACTTCCCACGTGTCTCAATCCAGTAGTTACGGCAGCCTTCACTCACATGACCGCTTGGTAGGCTGTAACGCTTGACTAGGGGACAGCAGCACTTTGATCTCACTTGTAATCTTTTTGGCATACAAGTGTAAGGTGTGATTCTGCCAAAATTTCTGAAGTTTGAAGTACATACAGGCCTACTGCTCTTAGCATGCCTTTTAAAAAAAATAAATGATAATAGTAGCACTCTACAGCTGCTGACTCATGATGTCCTTTTCAGTTTGCTGGAGTCTAGTTTCATATGCATATTACTTTTTTAAAAACTTCCATAATGGATGGTGTCTCTATTCCACCTCTCTCTAGAGTTACCCTCCACACTCAGTCTCACCGACAGACATGAGCACGGGCCTCCCCCCGATGTCCAGCTTCCACCGCGGCGGCTCCGGCAGCTCCCCGTATGTGGCTGCCTCACACACTCCTCCTGTCAATGGCTCCGACAGCATCCTGGGTGAGCTTTGGCACTTGGCAGTGCTTCCTAAAATCTAATCAGTACATATTTTGAGTGTGGAGTAGAAAAAGGAAGAAACAAAATTTTATGATTTTCATTCATGGAAAAACGAGTAAGGAACTCATTACCTCCGCTTATTAAGTACATGCAAAGTGTTTGCTGGGTTATTGTAACAGATTTGAAATAACAGTAGAGGGTAACCTTGAAATAATGACATAGTCCTTAAAAAAATGCATGCTTGCCTGCTAAAATTCTTGACTTGTTTTCCTTTTTGAAATATCCAGGAACCAGAGGGAATGCCGCTGGAAGTTCTCAGACAGGTGATGCACTTGGAAAGGCTTTGGCATCTGTGAGTATTAATTTTATGTATTTTTCTGAATGTGTTGTGTACTAATGAATGCAGTGATTAGATTTTGTGACTAGTATATTTCATAGTTAAAGAGTAACTATAGGGGGCTGGAGCGATAGCACAGCGGCTAGGGCGTTTGCCTTGCACTCGACCAAACCGAGTTCGATTCCCAGCATCCCATATGGTCCCCCAAGCACCGCCAGGAGTAATTCCTGAGTGCAGAGCGAGTAACCCCTGAGCATTGCCGGGTGTGACCCAAAAAGCATGATAAACTTTATTACTATTTAGGGGTATTTTGGGTTTTTACTGATCTGTGTTGCCCTTAACTTCTACGATTACCTTCCCCCCCCCTTTTTTTTTCTTTTTGGGTCACACCTGGCCATGCTCAGGGGTTACTCCTAGCTTTGCACTCAGAAATAACTCCTGGCAGTGCTTGGGAGACCTTATGGGATTCTGGGGATCGAACCTGAGTTGGCCGTGTGCCAGGCAAACACCCTACCCGCTGTGCTATCTCTCCAGTCCCTCCCCTTTCTTATAAGACCTATCCTTCTAACTTCAGTTTAACTGTGTGCATCATGGGGTCAGGGATGTGGCTTCCTGGGTAGAGCACATGTTTTGCATTTACAAGACCATGAGTTTAATCCCTACGTCACACACACACACACACACACACACACTAAATAAATAAATAAATAAATAAGTCAAAGGGAACCAGGGAGAAAGTTGTTCTGCTGATCCAGAAGAGGAATTACCTTTGTAGGGAATCTTTCTAAGACAAAGTTCTGTTTTATGAAGGAGATTATCTTTTTCTTTTCTTTTTTTATTTTGTTGTTTAGTTTGTTTCAGGCCACTCTTGGTGGTACTCAGACCTTACTCCTGTCTCTGTGCTCAGGGATCACCCCTGGTGGTGCTCAGAAAACCATAAAGAGGTATTAGGGATTGAATTCAGTCAAGACAAGGGTATTGCAAGGCAAGCACCCCACCCGCTATACTGCCCTTCCCACTGTTATGACTCAAGCCCCAAGATAGAAAGTATTTTACATAGTTTAAAAGGGAAAAAGTAATCAGCTATAATTGATACATTAAAGAAATGAGAGCCCATGAAAATATTCCCATTGAACAACTCTTGGTAAACAGATCGGAAGCTCTCGTGGTTGGTTGGTGTGCCATAAGTATGTAGAGGATATATACATACTCAGCTCTTTGCTCAAGAGTAGCTTCCAGCAGTGCTTAGGGGGCCATGTGAAATCGGGGAACGAATTCTGACCTTCCACCTCTAAAGCAGGAGCTTAGTCTATAGAACTCTCCATCTTAGTAATTACATTGTATTTCATTAAGCAACCAATGTAGATCACATTACGGCTTTAATGATTGTGTTTTTATATATGATCCTTAAAACGTCAAAATGGAAGTCACTCCCTTTAGAATTTTTTGGGAGAGCACTTACCAGTAATCCACAGTTTAAATGTAAAAAGAGGCACTTCTGCTTCATACTTACTGAAGTTGTTCCTTATACTTTGCCTTTTCTTTGTTCATTCCTCTTGGGTGCTAGACCTCTTAGAAATCCAAAGTTGTCCTAGATTTGGGAGGATCTGTGAGAAGGGTTATGTGTGCCACGCCCATCGATGATCAGCGTTTCTTCCTGACTCAGGGATCATTCCTAGTGAGCTTGGGGGATCATATGGGATGTGGGATGCCAGGAACCGAATGCTGTCCTATCTCAGGCTTCGCTTGTCTTAGGTTTTCTATAAAATGCAGCACCCTGTCAGACATTTGCTGCTGTTCATGGGGAGGACAGACCACTTAATGTGTGAAGCAGTAGGAAGGAACTATTGAACATTGAAGGAGATAGATCTCTTTGTATATGGTTTCTGTAAATTAATCTGTCTCTGTACTAAGTACAAATTTATCGAGAATTGAAGCTAAAGTCAAAATCATCTACACATAGGAAGCTCCATGCAAAATAGAGGTTTTGAATATTGGTTGAATTTAATCTTGCATCATGTGACAAAAATAGTAATGATAATATAAAATTCACAATAATATTTCTGTAATTTGAATGTTTACTCAGTATTAGGTGCTATATATACTAAGCATGACATGTAATAACCCCAGGAAAACCCTGCAAGGTTGACATTAGTATCCCTGCATTACAGATGAGGAACTACGGTTTAAAAGGTTAAGTAACTTCAGCTTACAAAGACTAAGTAGTTTGCCTTAGGGATCATGAAGCTCGTAAGGGTAAAGCCCATATATATTAGAACCCTGATCTGACCAGCTTCATTTCTCTGTCCATCTAGAAGGAGCAGTTGACAGTGACTGTTGTCTTGCAGGGTGTTGGTGAGGATTAAAGGGAATTGTCCCACTCATTAGGGACTTAACCATTCTCCCCTATGAAGACTATTTAGGAAGAAAAGTCATTCCATAATGATAAATTGGAGTGTCTTCTGGGTATTTAATTGTCTTGCCATATTCTTGTGCAAGCTTCACATCTAGAAAGACATAGTATTTGGACTTTTGGTGGTAGGCAGCTTTTAAAAATATAACTTACATTTAGAATATTCTTTCTTACAGATTGTGATTTTTATTTTATCCAAGAAAATTTTGTGTAAACACTGTAGGAGCCTTTGCAAGCCAGCAGATAGTTTGTGATCTTCTCACTATTTTCTTCAAACTCATTTTCAATAACCCTTCAGATTGACCTGATTGTTTTCCCATATTATGACCAACATACTAATCAACCCAGTTGGTTAGAAAAGAAAATCCAAATGTATTGACTGGAAGCAAGGGAAGAACGCCTAGTCTAGTTAGTGGGTGGGCTTGGGTTGTCATGGAAACTCAGCTCCATCATCCTATGTTGTTACTAGGCAGGAGCAGCCAGGTCATTCCATAAATCATTTCTGTCATAGCTGATGTGATGCATCCCATCTGTTCCATCACTTCATGCCATAGTCTGCACACTTCAGTCCCATCCTTAAGTCCCTCTGCTCTACCCCTTCCCCCTGGACACCTCCCCCAGACACATTTTTTTCTCCCCAACTTCCAGTACAGACTCATCATTCACTTTAGTTTCTCATAATACGCTGAAAAAATAAAAACTTGAAGATGGGAATAAAGATTAGATGAAATGAGGTTTACAAGGATTGTATTTTGGGATTCTGGCATGCATTTAAGAATTTTTCTTTAGGTTATTTGGAAATGGTAAAGTATTTTAAAATGTTGGTTCTTTATAATATTTAATTATAACATTTTTAATATGGCATTAGTTTTCAGTGAACACCATGCTATTCTCATTAGTTCTGTCTAGCTGTACATTCTCTGATACATGTCTTAGAAGGCCTTTCATGTGTGAAACAGCAGAGGGTACAACCTTTGTTCTTCAGTTTAGGTATTAAAAGGCAACAGAATGCTCTGTGATTAAACATGTAAGGCCAGATAATACATTCGCAAAGGTTCCTTTATTTTAGGTTTAAGCCTGGATAATTGTGGTCTTAATCTCAGGATAGCTAGAAGGAGAATTGTACATGAAAGTGTTTACACAAAGTTCCCAAAGCCTTGTGGATTATACATTAGTTTAGATAATAAACTAGGGTAGATAGAAGGAAAGAAAAATCTGGGTATTGGTGCCATTTCTAATGTGTTTCCCTGAACATTTGCCAGACAATAACCCTTTAAGATTGTGCCCATGGAGAGTTATATGGAGGAAGAAACATCTGGTTTATTTCAGTGCCTAATACCATATCAAAACACTTGGTCTTTAATTTAGAGGAGATCAAACAAGAGGACTGTTTAACTTTGTTGATTATATCAGACTTTTTTGTGATAATTTATGTTTTGATTTCTACCTCAGCAAGGAGGGGGGAGAAGAGAGAAAAGAGAGAGTGTGTGTGTTCATTTGTGTTCAGTCTGGATAGTAAAATGGTCAGTAGTCTCTAACAAAAGAAAAGAAAATTTAGGGAAGTTGACATTCAAAACTAATTCATGAAATAAGTTCCTTTGTTCCTTAGACTCAATAACATTAGCATAAGAAAGATGAACTAAATTGTGCCTGGGCTGTAGTGTGTAAAAAATTGGGCTCAAGGTTCCAAGGTTGGGTTGGGGAGCTCTCCATTGTCCCTTTTTGTCTGAGGCCCTTTTCATTAGTCTCTGCTTTATTGGCATCCTGCTGACTGGAATGGACCGTGACGGATAGGAGGAGGAGCCTTATTTGTTGCAATAAAATGAGGCATATTAACACTGAAGCCTGGCAGAAGGTATTGGGAGCTATTCATCATTGGTCATTTAAGCACTGAGGACTACATGCAGAGTAAATTCTTACTTTGTATTTCTACTCAAGACCCTAAATCACCCCATCTCATCCCCATTTTTAGAGTCACTTTTTTCTCTTTTCTTTTTCTTTCAAATACCAATGTAGTAATTCTTTTAAGATCAGAAAGTGCAAAACATAATATTCTGAGTCAGAATATTCTTTGACAAATAAAACCCAATGTTTAGAATTTTCAATGTAACAATTATTTCTATGGAATAAGTATAATTTCTGTGTGATTTGGTAAAAGAATGAAAATGCCAAGATAGGGCTTAGTGAAGTGGTATATGACCTCAAGATTGTATTCTGCCTTTTTTCACTGTGTGGTCCTCCTCATCTTCTCTCACAGATTATTTTTTGTTTGTTTGGGGGCCACACTCAGTGATGCTCGGGCTTCTGGCTCTGCTCTCAGTCCATTGACCACAGTGGATGCCAGGATTGAACCCAGGTCTGCCACTTGTAAGACAGACGCCCTGTCCTCTGTACTGTCGCTCCAACCCCACATTCAAATTATTTTTACAGAATAAGAGAAAAAGGAAAAAAAGGACTATTTGTCAGTTCAGGAATAGTATTAGCACAGCGGGTAGGGCGTTCGCCTTACAAGCGGCCAACATGGCCGACCCGAGTTCGATTCCTCCGCCCCTCTCGGAGAGCCCGGCAAGCTACCGAGAGTATTCGATATGCCAGACACAGT